CAACGGTTATCATCTTACAGCTCATCAAATGAACAGTAATAACACCTGTTCAGCTTCTTGTATTAAACATTTTGCATTTGGCACTCCAAATGTACCAATGCAATTAAGTGCTGACAAAATAGTGGGTTATACTGGGCTGCTTTTGAAGGGCCTCGTTCTGTTTCTCGGCTAAACAGCAATTTGAGTAAAATTTATAATAAAGAGAAAGCAGCACTCAGACCCCGAGGGTTAGTGGCCCTGATGTAGCTGAAAACATAAACACGTACTGCCAGATGTGTGCTGTTACCAGCCAACACAAACAGAACGTAAAGGGAAGTTAGACAGCGACACAGAGACACAGAGGAGGGCAGCTCTAATCAAACAGATGTTGACTGGATACTGCTGTGTTGTGGGAGGAGGACGGACGGAGGGAGGGAGAAGTCCACCAGGACTGTATAAGGAAACTGCTCTCCTAAGAAGATGATTGGAATTCAACAAGAGCTGCACCCCCAAGATTGGGATCAGCGTGTGACAAGACCACAGTGCAGAGAATGGGGAAATGTTTTTAAAGGTCTTAACTCAAAGGCCTTTTGAATTAAATCATTTTTAGGACATTTTCACAGTTAGGCTGGTTTATGTTAACAATAAGACCATAGGAGGGGAGCTCTAAAGGGGTGGGACTCGAAAAGATCTACTACAACAACAACAGCAACATCTAAACAGCTCTGACACAATGGATACCTACAATTTAACTGAACTGAACTCTGTGCCTCATATCTGAGAGAATTGTCAACTCTTAACATTCCTTTTCCATTTCCACCAATTTCCGTGAGGGAGGAGGATTGTATTTTTCAACGTATCTGCCTGAATCTAACGTCTAAGTCAATGCTGATGCAACAACAACAACAACAACAACAACAATACAGTCTACACACAACAATGCCACAGGTAAACACATACAATCCATTTCAAGCCAGGACGAATGATAATGAAAGTGGTATTTGGTTACCTCTTTTTTTTTTTTGTCTTCATGACTTGAAATAATCAACCTAAAAATGATGATATTCTGATAGACCACTACCATATACCAATGAATGAAGTCGGTGTTGATGTGAGTGTGTTACTGAGCATTACCACCTGTGAACCTTTAAAGAACCACTGGACAGGAAATCAAAGAGTGAAGGTCAAATAAATTGCGAAAACAGCCCACAGGAGACACCACTGTGCAAATCAAACTGTCCCTGATATTCAGCAGTGCTCTAGGTTTCATTTATATATTTTAATGTTGCAATACTTGATAACAACATTTCCCTCCACTGTAATGTTTACCTCCATCACATAAACTGACCCGGCAGGCTATAAAGTTTATTTATTAAGTGTCTACTCTTTATTTTGCTTTTCCATAAATGACTCCTCTTCACATCCTGGATGGATTGTGTCCAAATATTGAAGCATCAGCTCTGAAGGCTACAGGGCACTGATGGTGAGTAAAATGACATTTTTATGCAATGCTGCTGGATAAAAGAAGACATTTCCTACTGCCTTCAGTAGTCAACCAACTGCCCAAAAAATGATGTCTTATATAGGAGGAAGTATTGTTGGCATTGATTAAATAAGGCAATTTAGAAACAAAATAAATTTCTTCCTTATCTTTAAGATACAGAACCTGGTGTTTCCCTCAGATTGATGTCCAGCTGTAGTGCTGTAAAAGTATTGGTTTTGTCTGAAAGTGGCAAACTAAAATGTAGTAAAAAAAGAAAAAAAAGGACTATTTATTTGGTGGAAAATACTTCCAGTAAAAACTGAAAATTCACATACCAATATCTCAAAACCTGTACTAAAAAAGATAATCAAAACAAGTCCCTTGGGCGCCCGGTTAGCTCAGTCGGTAGAGTTGGCGACCCATATACGCAGGGGCGCCCGGCCCCAAATAAGGCATAAGGTAAAAAACCAACAACAACAACAAAAGCCTTGTCTCCTAAAAAAACATAGGAACTGGTGCAAAGTTTTAATACATTTTTTACATTAAATAGGAAAAAAAAAAACATTGAAAACCATGTATGATCTCTCCATGATACATGCCTTCTGAGCTGATGTATTTTCAGAGATGCAGGGGAGAGCCACCATGTTACATGTTGTTACTAAGATACAGAGCTTTGTTAAACAGTGCTGACACAAAGTGCACACTGAGCCAAATGAGAGTCATTCATACAAACTCCAAGAGGCTGCTGTAACCACGGATACCTTTCAGTGCCATATGTGTGTTTATGTTTTTGCCAGTATATGGGACGGAATAATTTTAAATTAGACACCCTTACAGAGCACAAATAGGCTTCCTAACATGACTGACAGATAATCATTTGCATCTTCCTCCAATTTCACTCACTAAAGGGTTTAGTGGCAGAGGATTGAGGTCCTGCAGTTGACTTCACAGCCTCTAATAGCTGCCATTCTGACTCTGGCCTGCTAGGATATACAGTGAATGCATTAATACTGACTGCTGAGGTAGCAACCTTGGCAAGACTGTTATGACCAAAAAGCAAAAGAAAAAAGCCACACACATATTCTATAAAACTGCGCAAACAGAAGAGCTACCAAAGCCAGCGGCCATATGAAAGCCAGTCCATTCTAACTCTAAACTAAACTGTTTATTGCATCCCAATATGCTGCTTTTGGTTCTCTCCTTAGTGTGTTATACTAAACACTAGAGGACACTATGCAAGCATATACATGCAATGCACTCTGAAACAATATGTAATTCTACTTTTGATTAATGTATGCCGATACTACTTACTTAATACATACTTCTACTTGTTGCTGTAAGCCAAAGTGGAAACAGGATACCAGAAACTGTGTTCACTGTTTACCGCAGAACAAAGGGACTGGGAGAGCCATGCTACTGACAGAACATGCTCAGTGATGGCTGTCACATGTCACATGTCATGTAAAGCTATTTAACACTTGCCGTAAAACAAGAGAGATAGAAAAAAAAAAGTGCTGAATCCCAACCTCTGAAGCAGTCATAATGTCTGTACATGGTCTGTGTCCATTCCTTCATTATTTATATTCCTTTAGTCAATACAGGTCCACCGATCAAACGAATCAAAGGGTTTCATTAAAACTAATCCGAGTTGTGAATATTGTTATGTGACATCTGTTGCTCACTGTCTGTATACTGCGTGGCGTAATTCTTCGGCTGCCGTACAATGTTCAATCTGAAATTCAAGCTGTTAGTTGTGAAATTTGCTGAAGAAAACAGCACAAGGAAATCAAGCTTAAGCAGCACAATTAGATAGTATTTCCCATTTGTGCTGAGCAAGAGTTTTGTGCTGAAGGAATTAAATGCATGTCCCAAATAGACGTCTGTTCCCAATAAAGAAGGGGTCAGTCCAGCGATAAATGCCCAAGCTATTATAAGAAGTTGTTCAGTATTTTAACAAAAAAAATATAATTTACAGCAATTTGAAGTAAAATCTTAAATGTAAGTCTACTCCCATTAAAAGACCCATACCAATCAATGTATCTAGTAACTACTAAGTACTACGTGTGTATCAAAGCCTATTATTCCTCCAAAAAGACATCAATGAGCCACACCTGTTGCACTGGCTGACATAATCCTTTATTACCATGAACACACACTGTAGTTTTTTTTCCTCAACCAGCATAAAATTCCCCGTAGAATGCACACCACTCAATACACAATGCATAAAATATTCAGACTGCACTGTGGGCGCCTTCACTCCTTATGGCTCGTCCACCTGTACAGCACAGCTGGTTTAAGATAACACAGAAGCTATCTGCAAAGAGTTCCTCTCTCTCCGTCATTGGCAAAAATTGTAGATTTATCCTCAGTTGAACTTTCAGCAAAACCAGCGAAACCCACACTAGTTGCCTTACTTATCGCCAAGAAGACCATCCATAAAAACTGGAAATCCAAACACACAATCAACACTAATCGCTGGTCAAATCGTCCCACAGAGCACCAAGCAAATATCTTTCTGTCTCACACTCAAACCCCTATTGCTGAACTTATACCAATACCCCCTAAACATAACATGATAGTACTATAGAATATACTTTAACAGGAAACCATGAAAATAGAGCTGTGGCAGTTTTCTGAATGAAAATGCAATTTTACTTTTGGTTATTCAGTTCACTCATATTTTATTTAAATTGATTGATTGGATTGGTTTTACAGAATTTAAAAGTAGAGCAAATGCAGCTTCCTGCTGTACATATGGACTAAAATATACATTTGTCCACCCCATCTGTATAAAAGAGTTGACTAAATATTAAAAAAACCCAAAATAAATTTCACAGCCTCACATACCGCAGCTTCCAAAATGACCCAAACATGAAATCAACACCGCTCTGAAACAGTTTCAACAAAAGTTGGGCCTTCATGAGGGCTGTGTACCAAATAAAAAGGAAGTGTGACAGCACTATTCAATATTCAAAATAGAAAAAAACATCATTCAAGTTCCATAGAAAGACGAATCATCTCATGAAATTTTCAAGCAAAAGACATACATGCCTGCTCATGCAGTGATAATCTCATCATTACTTACATTAAACCATTCCCAGTGACAGGTCATCAGTGTCATTTGTATTAGGATATTTCACAGTGCTGCTGGAAACTTGTGAGTTTAAAACCAGGGGCTCAGACACTAAAGAATACTAAAATAATCATAACAACATTTTTTTTCCAAAATCTCCAGTGTGCTCATTAGCATGCAACAAGAAAGAGGATTTACTACATATAACCCTGCACTAGTCTATAAATGCTCAACGCGTGCACAATGCTACACTATAAAGTGAGAGCCACTGAATGCAGTAATGCTGTTGGCTAAGCTATTAGACCAGCAGTGTGCAGCAGTTTACACCAAAGGATGTGAACACAACACCTAATGTTTATTTTATCTCTAATCAACTTTTCTTACATCCCTTAAAAGAAAAAAAAGGAAAGAAAATCAATGGCTCAGCCAATTTTATCATTGGCATGATGCAGTAAATACACTTACCTTCAACCTTGCAGACTTCCCACGGCCTTGCAGATGGATAATTATAGAGAGGATGGAGGAACGGATGGAGGGAATTGGTGCTCTGACTGGGGAAAAGAGGGAATAGAAAATAACAAGGCAGGTTTAATTACTGTAGGGTACAGAGGACTAATAAGACTTCTCTGTCGCATTGTGATCAAACATATGGGGGTCGTGAGCCGGGATGTTACGCTGACTGATTAAGGATGAGGCCCATGTGACAGCATCACTCTAGCAGGAAGCCGCTTCACTATTGACAAGGAGAGCATAGACGCCCCGAGACACATCCCAACAGGTACGTTACCCCACCTGTAGCTCTGCTAATGAGTTCTATCATCAACAGACATGACCCACATTGTATTAAAGCTGGATGTGTCAAAGGCATTAGCACAGTTACTACATGCATATAAATGTTTGTGTGTGTGCATAGCATTTATGTAGGCATACAGAGGTCAGTATTAAATTGAGACGGTTTCATAACCAGTTAAAAACTCCTTTTGGATGTTTAAAAAATATGTTGGGTTAAGAGAATAAATTGGACTGAATGGAGCACAAGTTAAATCAAATATGACACAAATATTAAAAAGATAATTTACATGTCTTTTCTATATTTTGAAATAGTAGCAGTAGTATTCCAACAACCCAGCCTCACTTCCAAGTCCTCAAACACTGCAGCTTGGTCAGTGGCCCTCTGCTTTAAAATATGACACTGTAGGTATCCCTCTAGCGTCAGTTCTGGATGTGCCCTCTGTAGAAGTCAGGTGACATAAAATGGTGGATGGAGTCCTTGCTGCAGCAGCCATGGGTTTGACTCCGACCTGTGGCCCTTTGCTGTGTGTCATCCCCTCTCTCTCTGCCCTTTCCTGTCACTCTACAGCTGTCTCTATCAATTAAGGGCAATAAAAGAAAAATATATTTAAAAAAAAGCCAAGAGGGTTTTAAGTAACTTATGTTATGTTTGTGCGTAAATCAACTCATTACTTCCTGTTAATCTCCGAATTGTACGTCACTAAGCAATCTGAATCACACACAGGTAAGACGGACTCCGCCAGTAACAATGAAAATGTTTATATAGACGGTAATTGGCCCTTCGTAAGTCCCACCCTTTTTTGCTCAGTGTTCCAGTGACAGTTGAGCAAGCCTCAGTCAGAGCCTCAGACAACTTTCTCCTTTCCTGTACTTAAATATGTTATGTATTAGGCTATGTTGACAAGACAATCAAATTTTTATGTAGCTAACAAAGGTACATCAATCGTTAGCAAGCTAGTTACATCTAAGAGCTAATGTCATCAAACTAACTAGCTAGCTAATTTAAGTCAATTGTTATCCAAAGATGGAAAGACAATTTGGGCTGCTGGCTTAAAGATAGTTGATTGTTTAGTCTCATTCTTATCAGCTATCTTTCTTGGTTTTGATTGGTTATTTTTCATTTACAGATTATCTGTTTCATGAACTACTGTCAGAAAGACAGCAGCTCGCAGGATGGGGGAGGCAGCAGAAAGAGCCTCTTGCTGGTTATGGAGCAGGAGAGAGGAGTTAAGCTGGAAACCAGGAGGGGAAGATGGGCAGTGACTTGGCCACCACTGAGATGATGAGGGTCGAAACACCCAATGATTGATGGGTACCGCCTGATGACATCAACCCCTCCTGGTCAAGGCTACATTCACTTAAGGTGAATGAAGATGAGAAGCATCTTCGGATGTATTTGTAATTCAGAACACAGTGAACATTTCAGCAAATATAACAAAAAGTTATTTTCATAAAATTTTCTGCAGCTTTAAAATCAAGAAAGCCTCACAACCTCAATGAAGCTTTGGCGACTCCTAGTGGTGGTCCAGACGCCCAAAGAGGGCTACAGGGTATGGTTGAAAGCTCAGAAAAAACATAGTAGGTGGACCTTGAGTTAGGAATGTCTTTGCACCAGTTGTGCATGTTTGCTTCCCTCTGGGCAATATTTCCATCATGTAATAGGAGTCTGGGATGTGAATTATCAAAATGTCCTTGCCGTTTCCACCAGTAACCGCAGTGCCGCCATATTAACCAGGACGGAAATCTTACAGATGATACATTTAAGAGGGGCATCAAAAGTGGAAGAACTCGAAGCACTTCATAAATAAACTTGACTTGACATCTTATTGTATGCGAGAGCAAACCCCCTGAGCATCTCTTTAGCCTCTTTTCCTTGGCTCTGTGTCGTACTGTTAGAGGACAGTGCTGGATTGGACTCGCACAGGAAAAGCCCATTTATCACAACATCAGCTGCCCAGCAGGCAGGGAGGCGAGCTGGCAGTGCCACTGATGGACTGGCAAAGGCCTCATATTACCACAGCCCCCGGTCTCCCCGTGGCCTCAATGATGAGCCCCTTGCCTGCCATCAGCCTCTGCATTCCCTTTCCATTTCTCAGAGACTCCCAGGGGTGACAGGGAGGCGTTGGGTGGCTGATAGTGAGAGTAATTAAAAGGGCTGATTAGAGTGACGGAAGGAGGACACCCAGGGAGGAAACAAAAATCTCTCTCAAGACGAGAGGGGGAGGAAAAAGAAGAGCGAGGTAGAAAATACAGCACAGATATCACCTCAGATCAGTCTTCACGTTAACAGGAGATTTTTTTTGTCCTCAGTCACATCAATTGGGGCAGAATCTCAGGGGAGCAACCGTCACACAAGTCCCAGAAACACTGTACAGAGCCAAGCAGATGTACTCTACTGAGAGCTTTTCAAGGTAAAGCCAAGAACAAGACTGTTAGGCCTACTTCTGCCTGTAACACAAATCATACAGGACACATCTCCATTTCCATATGAAACTAACTGGGCTCCCGCTAGAAAGCTCCTGAACCATGAACACTGAAGGAATCCTAACCAAGAGAAGCTGACTGTAATGACAGCAATGGTCGTGAAGACAACAACAACACCCAGAATGTCACCCTACTTCACGATGTCATCAAACTTTGCCTTTTGTTATTGTTTTGATGTGAGACAGAAATTACATATTGTACATTTAATACTCAATTGATTTCTCTTTCTGCTTCCATCCTTGATACATCCTGATTTATGTATTTGCAATGTCCAGTTTAACATTTAGGAGGATCTATTAGCAGAAATGTGTACAGGTATGTTTTCATTAGTGTATAATCTCTTGAAAATAAGAATCCTGTTTTTGTTAACTTAGAATGAGCTATTTTTCCCTACAGAGTCGTCTTCTACAGAGTCTGTCAAGTTGAACCACCACGTTTCTACAGTAGCCCAGAATGGACAAGCACACACTGAGTAAACTTTATTTGTTAACGAAGACCGTGTGACACAGTCAGCAGCCAGAAGCGAGTAAGTGGAACTTAAGTGGAGACAGTTGTGCCAAGGTTTCTTGCCATTTAAACATCATATCCCGAATAGGATCAAAATTAGGATAAGACACACAACCTCTTGCATGTAAGCACACACATAGGTTAGGGTTTGCTTTAAGCATATAATACATTATTTACATTTCAGATATTTCAGCTGTTTCTGTTTTGGTTTTGTTAAAAGGGCAATGGCCCATTAATACATCAACATCAAAGCATCTTCAAATTGATTTAATCCCCTATTAAAACCTGCAAACTCAGCAAACGTCTGCTCTTATTTCAGCTGCCTGATTCTAGTTTGAGGACTGCATACCAACACACAGGGTCAAGGTTGAAATAACCTCAATTAAGTAACGCATACAACCCCAACGCCTCCTGAACACAGCAGCACCCCTAACATCTTCATCTTACAACAAATTACATCACTTTCAATTAATAGCACATTTGATATTTGACTTCAAATGCTTACATTTAAGTGAAGATACAACAGTGGGCGCTTGACATCTAAAAATAATAACCACAGTGGGAGTAATTCATTATTTATTTGGTATATATTTATGGGACTGTTCTGATACATCAGATTGAAAGCATCTTGATTTTTTCTTTTCTTTGGCTTGGAGATAATTTTAATTAGGAGAGATTCCAGTTTCTGCTTAATAGAATTAAGTTACAGCAACATTAAGATTCCCCTTGGCACAAAGGCATCAAAATGCGTTTCCATATGACTGCTGGAACATACATGTATGCACCCTTGGATTTAAGTCAAGTTTAATTATAGCAAAGTACCACATCCAGTCTCCTGGCCTGCAGCAGTTCATGAACCATCACAAGCTCTCCAGTAAGTGAAATCTTAACACATGAGTACTAAATGATCTAAATACGCTCTGTTGGAAGTGATGCATTCAGCATTTTATTAGTGAAGTGAGAATTGTTGGGAATATAAACAAAATTGCATTGGCTTTAAAGACCCATTTTCACTTTCCTAACAAGCAATCAGAGTTATTGCTGCTATATCAAAGAAGCAAAGGCAGAACTAAGGAGTAAAAGTTGCAAATGTCTCAGGGAGGAGGTCTAGTCAAAGTGTGAGACATTGGCACCACAAATTGCAACTTCTCCTGACGACAGTCAACTGATTTCTGGATTGCTCCTTGACTTTAACCAAGTTGCCAAACCTCAACCATACAGGTGGCAGATCAGAAAAGCAACACTTTTGTATGATATTCGTGATGATTATATGCATTTGGGTAGGCACTGACAAACAATGAATGCGCAGTGAATTTCATGCTGGTGCAAGGAACCTGAGATGGCTGTGGCGCAGAGGGAGAGCGGGTCGTCCCTAATCGGAAGGTTGTTGGTTCGATCCCCGGCTCCTGGTGCCACATGTCAAAGTATCCTTGAGCAAGATACTGAACCCCGAATTGCTCCTTGCTGATTGTGAATGTGTATGAATGCATTAGTTTCTGTTCGATGGGCTTTGCCATCGCTGTGTGAAAGGGTGAATGTGGCACATAGTGTAAAAGCGCTTTGAGTGGTCAGAAGACTAGAAGGGCGCTATACAGGTCCATTTATAATTTTTTGAAACAATGGTTCTATGTTTCCCCGCCTAAAGGAGAAAGGATACAAAGCACTCCTCTAACATTTAAAGAATTCCAAGTCCTCTAATCATGGCTGACAGTGAGACCTTTTGAGGTCAGTTAGTGAGTTAGTTACCTTCCTGATTAGAGAACCGCTT